ATTGTTATGCAGATGATACTCAGTTATATCTATCGATCAAACCAGATGAAACTCATCAGTTAGCTAAACTTCAAATGTGCCTTCAGGATGTTAAAACCTGGATGACCTGTAATTTTCTAATGTTAAACTCAGATAAAACTGAAGTTATTGCTCTGGGGCCTAAGCACCTCCGTGACGCATTATCTAAAGATATAGTTTCCCTGGATGGCATCGCCCTGGCCTCCAGCACCACTGTGAGGAATCTTGGAGTTATCTTTGATCAGGACATGTCGTTTAAGTCTCACATTAAGCAAATTTCAAGGACCGCCTTTTTTCACCTACGTAATATTGTGAAAATCAGGAACATCCTGTCTAAAAATGATGCAGAAAAACTAGTCCATGCATTTGTTACTTCTAGGCTGGATTACTGCAATTCCTTATTATCAGGCTGCTCGAAAAAGTCCGTTAAGACTCTTCAGCTGATCCAGAATGCTGCAGCACGTGTTCTGACAGGAACCAGGAAAAGAGATCACATTTCTCCTGTTTTAGCTTCTTTGCATTGGCATAAAATCCAGAATAGAATTTAAAATCATTCTTCTTACCTACAAAGCTCTTAATGGTCAGGCACCATCTTATCTTAAAGAGCTCATAGTACCTTACTACCCCACCAGAGCACTGCGCTCCCAGAATGCAGGGTTACTTGTGGTTCCTAGAGTCTCCAAAAGTAGACTAGGAGCCAGAGCGTTCAGCTATCAAGCTCCTCTCGCCACCAGCTCCTACGACCGAACCTTCAAACTCTGGCTGTCTGAGTGATGTCATGATGATGTCAGGCGTGATGTCACAGCAGAACGCGCCTTTTTATTGTTAAAAAGTTTTTCTTTTCTGAAAAATGCAAAAAACAAATCAAATGTTTCTGTTTTCTGATGAAATAAAAGTTTACATGTGGTCTCTGATCCAGAACGCTGCAGCACGTTGTGACAGGAAGCAGAGGTCACGTCTCTCCTCAGCTTCCTGTAGAATCATTCTTCTTACCTACAAAGCTCTTAATGGTCAGGCACCATCTTATCTTAAAGAGCTCATAGTACCTTACTACCCCACCAGAGCACTGCGCTCCCAGAATGCAGGGTTACTTGTGGTTCCTAGAGTCTCCAAAAGTAGACTAGGAGCCAGAGCGTTCAGCTATCAAGCTCCTCTCCTGTGGAACCAGGTTCCAGTTTGGGTTCAGGAGGCAGACACCATCTCCACATTTAAGAGTAGGCTTAAGACTTTCCTCTTTGATAAAGCTTATAGTTAGGGCTGGCTCAGGTGAGTCCTGAACCATCCCTTAGTTATGCTGCTATAGGCCTAGACTGCCGGGGGATTTCCCATGATGCACTGAGCTCCTCTCTCCTCTACTTTCTCTCCCTCTGTATGCAACCTCATCCCATTATTGCATGTTACTAACACAACTTCTCCCCTTTCTGGTAGTCTTGTGCTTTCTCGTCTCTCTCCTCTCTCCTCCTATCACTTCCTGCAGGTTTTCTGGCTCTGGAGCTGTGGAGTCTGGATCTGTGGTTGCAGGTCACCTGCTGCCCCCGTGTTCCTGCTCGACACCCTCTGCTGCAACGACTATTGTTACTAGTCCTATTGTTATTATTGTTATAATCATTAACATTACTATAAATATCTGTACCATTTTTCATTTAGTCTATAGCAACATCACCTTTACTGTCTGTACCTCTGTGTGGATATTGTGTAGGCTGCCTCCCTCCCCTCTCTCTCTCCTTACATCCCTCTCTCTCTCTCTCTCTCTCGCCCACCCTGAGTCATGGTTCTGCTCGAGGTTTCTGCCTCTTAAAGGAAGTTTTTCCTTGCCTCTGTCTCCTAGTGCTGCTCTTGGTGGGAACTGTTGGGCTTCTGTAAATAACATCACAGAGTAAAACTGAATTGAATTGAATGATCGGAGCACCTCAAACAGCAAATGAGCGACATTCTGGGGACCTGGATCAACTAAAGACTGATGCAATGGGGATATTTGACCAGTCTGTTGAGCCTTTCTGTCAAACTGCTTCCACCCATTTGCAGAATAAGACCATCAAAGAACTGCTAGAACCAGTTGAACCAGAGATTGTTGTGGCAAAACAAACAGTATGTTATGTGGAAAACTCCAGAGTTCTTACCATTAAGGACCTTTATTTTCATTATATACCGTCGGTGAACAGTTTGGAGCAGCTGCTGGCACATCCAAGAATAAGTGCAATGATTGATAAGAGGCCACAGACACGCAAGGAGGGAGTTTTTCAGGATTTCATTGATGGAGACATTTTTAAGTCCCACCCACTGTTTTCCCGCAGCATTGCAGTTGCTTTTATATCCAGATGAAATTGAGTTATGCGATCCTCTTGGATCTCGGGCAAACAAAAACAAATTGTTATTGATTTATTACACCTTAGGTAACATCAACCCTAAACGCAGATCAAGACTCGCTGCCCTTCGTCTGCTTGCCATGGTAAAATCAAAAGATCTTTCACATTGTGGTACCGCTGAGATATTTGAGAGGATTAACCGTGACTTAACTGATCTGTGTGACGGTGTCCAGGTTGTCACTGTACATGGTGAGAGGACAATTTATGGAGCGCTTGTGTCTGTGTGTGGAGACACTGGAGCTCAGCGTGAGGAGGAGTGGGATTTGCCTACAGTAAATGCAGGCACTGTGAATGTACCTCTGAAGACATGCAGGAGCAACTTGATGAAGATTTGTTGGTTAAAAGGACAATGGCAAGTCGTAACAGGCAATGGAACGACACTGAAAAGACAAAGACAATCTAAAAATGACACATGACATAAACAGGAGAAGCAAATGAACAGAATCTCCTCACTTTGATAGAATCATTGAAACCCCACAGGACATCATGCATGTCGTTCTTGAAGATGTTGCCCCGTATGAAATCAGACGTGTTTTAAAGCATCTGGTGCTTTCAGGGCATATGGACTTAGACGCATTCAACAGTGCACTTATTTGTTTCCCTTATTCTCCTGTGGATGCAAAGGATAAGCCTTGCCCCATATCTGTCAATACACTGTCAAATGACAAGAAGTTGCTGCTTTTGTTAAAGATCCATTTCTCATTGACAAAACTGGAGAGAACGAAACACACAAATGCTACGAAAGTTGTTAGAGATAGTCAAATTCTGTTTTCACCTATTATTGCTCTCTCAAGTCTTTCAAGGCTGAAGCTTTTAATAGAGCAACATTTCCAGATGCAGATATTATAGCTAAACAGCATTACTTGCTGCATCTTCCTTCTCAGATTGAGGCACTTGGTCCTACAGGGAGGCATGTGTGGTTGGTGCTTTGAGTCAAAGCATTGAGTTTTTAAGGAGTGGGCCCCGCCTTTCGCCCAATGTCAGCTGGGATTGGTTCCCCGCGACCCTGTACGCAGGATAAGCGGTTGACGATGGATGGATGTAAGTCACTTGTGAAGCACAACAAACGTTATGAGTGTAGTCAGAATGTGAAGTTGACATGGGCCCAGCCTCTGAGGTGAAAAATGTTCACTATGTAGAAGGAAAGATTAAAGACTTCTTAGGAATAGAGCACGTTGAACATATAGTTTCGGCACAGTAGATCATGCAACATGGAAATAAGCAAACATGTGGAAAATCTTTGGTTATTTCTTATGTCATCAGTGATACTCCAGAGTTTGCAGTTGTGAAAAACATTTGTATTTAAATGCGTCAGTGTTTTGTTTTGAACGCCAACCTCTCTCTACAGCTGGGTGGAATGATCAGTATTTAGCTCATGAGGCAGAAGTTCCCGACCGAGCTCAAGCCAATATTTTCATGGATGCTGAAAAGCGTGTTGATTATACACCGTACTACTGTGTAAACTTCAATAATGGCAAGTACATTCCACTGAAGTATGATCTCACACACATCATCAAACATCATTCTTGAGTCTGCACTGAGTGTGGCTATTTGGGCGCAATTTCTTTTTTTAAGCACTGACAAACTCTGTAATTGATGACAGCATTTATTTTTACTTATTGCTTTAGGAATAATGTGGTGCAGTATGTCCAGAGTGCAACAGAACAGAGAAGGAAACATCATTCTGTCTTTTTTACATATCACATGGACATGGTTCGACGGAAATGTAAGAGAAATAGCCGCACCGTACTCTGCATGTGAGTTGGGCATGTTGACCTGCAGTTTTCAATAAAGCACATTTGGTGCTTCATCTTTTACAAATAACACAGCAGCTTAAAAACCTTCTGACATGTCAAAAAAGCTTGTTTCATCTGAGATATGACTCAAAACAAGATGTTTTCAAGATATCTAAGATGCGCTGTCTAAAAACAAGCTCCTTTATCTCACTTGCTCTATTGCTGTTTTTCCTTTATTAAGTGTGATGATGAGAGATGAGAGATGCAGCGCACTGACGGCAGCAAAAGGTCAAACTCCTCGTCTGCGAACATGTCAGTAAAGCTGATTGTGATTAATACGCCCTCAGATTTAATCAGTGAGCTTCCAGCACAAACAGAAACGTCTCTTCCAGCCAGAGATCCAGAGATTTCCTCCTGTTTTCTATTTAGTCCAGAAGATTGTTTTTCTTCCAGCTTTTATTAGACAGGACTTTTATTTTCTATTTTTCTATTCTCTATTTCCTCAGAGTCAGTTTTCCTCCTCGAATGTGAAAACTTCACTAAATCATCAGAACTAAGAAATAACAGGAAGCTGAACCAGGAAGGAGAAACAAGCACACTGAGACGCTCACGTGCTGTTTGGATCGCCATAGCAACACACAGGAAGTGGGATCAGACACATCTAGCAGGAAGAAGAAGAAGAAGACGCTGACCGCTTTAATCTGATAGCGACGCCTCAGCCTGCTCTGGTTGCCATGGTAACACCATCCTGTAGTCAGTAATCAGTCAGAAGCTTCTTATCAAACTAAAGTTCATCAGTTTAGAGAGGTTCACTACAGACCACAGAGTGTCGACATCGTCTCTGAAGGACAAAATGTTCAGACAGGGACAGACAACTGGTTTAAACTGGTTTGAACTGGTGGCATCTTTTATAGCATCCACTTTTTCTTGGATTTCTTTCTTGAAGGCTGTGTGCAGAAAGTTTATCTCCAAGAAAAACAATTTCCTCAACTCCAAACTGGCATTTGCTCTTGTTTAGCTTTAGTCCATACCTACTTATCCGCTCCAGCACTTTTATCAGCCTCACATTGTGCTCCTGGAGTGTGGAGCCCCACACAACAACGTCATCAACATACAGCCGAACTCCATCTAGCTGTGTTGATGCAAAACTCTTCACCAGCCCCAAATCCTGCCAGGCTTCATCACCCAGAAGTGAATCAAGCTCCTCAGCAACAACAGAGAAGAACAGGTGGTGTACTGTACCTTCTAAACACTCTGTCCATGTTTTTTGTGTGCATTTTATGTTTATCTTTCATCACTTTAACGTCTTTTTGCGCCGGTGTCTCGTATTTTTTTGGAGAGCAGTGGGCATCAAACCTTTCGAGCACTTTATCAAGTTTGTCTTTGTCATCTTCACTGTCATACACGAAGGTATTGTACACTTCTATGGATTGATGGTGCTACTGTTAGCAGCAACGCTACCTTTCTCGCGTCTCTAGACCCATGGCCAGTTGAAATTGGTGCTTGAAGGTGCGCCAATTGCTATCGACATTCCCCTCTTAGTTTCAAACTGTCCAGTGGCTTCAAAGAATCCATGTCGCTGTTCACAATGCACCTTGTTCTGGTTTTATTTCTGGTACCATGTTTTGTTTATTATCATTCATGAAATAAACTGCAACCTTTCTTTGAACAAATTCCGAGGTTTTTATTCCTCGTGCTAGCAGGTTAACAAAAATGACAACTGGTACTTGCCTCTTTCCCCAAAAACATCTGTTGTTCACACAAACCGCTATGGATACCCTTTGGTACAATGTGGAATTACATCCAAACATCACAACCATCCACTGGTGAAACTGGAAACATGGCTGACAGAGAACCCTGATCCAGTGACAGAGACTCAGGCTGTATTCAAAACTATACTAATAGTACGTACTGATTTGGCCTAGATGTAGCATGTAGTATGCAAACTAAAGCAAAATCTGCAGTATGCCAAAAATACCCGGGTGTCATACTGATTTGGAAAACATCTCCAGTATGCCTCACGGACTGTGTCCCATAATAATATTCCATATCCCATACTGTTAACCTATTATACAGCTTTTCCAGTCTTATATTGTAGTTCTGTGACTCCTGTATGGCAGCTTTGCATGGTTCAAAAAAATATTTTTCTTAAGGTTTGTTCACACTGAAAGCAAATTTAATAGTCGCCTCGCTTTATTCGTTTGACCGCTGGACATTGAGTGTTCACACACGCGTTTTAAGCGAATAAACACAGCCCGCGGATACTACAGCTGTATGAACCCAAAGTAAACCCTTTGCCGTGATTTAATAACAATAGATGGATTAAACTGGTTCCGAAATAACTACAATATGATGCCCTTTTGTTAGACATATGAATTCATACTTTGTCAGGTCTTTCAGCAGGACAACAACTTCTAAAATGTTTGTTTTCTGAATGGAGTTCGCATCAGGGCTATGCTATGCTAACCTGTTCACAGTAAAGTACAACGACAGCTGGAATAAAGTACACACATTTTCTAAACTCACCAGGTAGTTCAACTTCCTCGCTTTCTTTTCTTCAATTAATGTCCAGTTCTGTCCATTTTTTATATAAATATGAAGCATCCAAGGTCTGGTGCCATCCGACGGCAACAACAGTGGAACCGGATGTGAATGGAAGCTGCCCAGAAGCGCGAGTGAAGATAAATCAAGTTTAATTCCAAAAACTAAAGTAAAAAGCTAATTTAATAAAACCAGTTAACTGAGCTCCTATCGCAGGTAAAGGGCACAGCTGTCAGAGCAGAATCCAGACCGACTACGGGGGTTAGGGTTGTGTGTGTTGGACAGAAAGGACCCAAACGCAGGATTTATTAAGGGAAAAAGGGGTTGAGGGAGTGGAGGTGATGGAGAGGTGGATACCGGGGAAACACGGGCACGTGGGGCAGAGGAGCAAGTAGGGCAGAGGGGGCCGAGGCGAGGGAGCTGGGGGGTCATTGGGGACCAAGGAAGAGAGGAGGTAGGGGAGAACTGACTGGGGGATTGGTGGAGGAGTGCGGTGGCAGGCTGACTGCGAGGAGCGAGGGGGAGCCAGGAGGAAGCCCGAGGGGAGAGGGCAGGTAGGCGAGCCCAGCTGACGCAACGGAAGACGAAGGTGAGTGAACCTGGGGAAGAGCAGACAGAGAGCAGGGAAATAGAGATTCTGCAGAATTCTCAGAGGCTTGAGTGGAGCAGTAGCACCAGGTCAGGAGCAACGACGATCAAGTAGAGGTTGTGTGAAGAACCGGGGTTGAAATACTGGCAGGTGTGGCAGTGAGAGGAGGCTGCTGACGAGGTGCAGGTGTGGATCATCAGCTGGGCTCAAGAGCAGAGAGAGAGGCAGAACACAAGCAGTGGGAGAGAAGGAGACACAGAGAGGCAGGCAAAACAAAGGGGAAAACAGAATGGTAGGAAAAAAGGAAATAAACAGGACACTGACCGTCAGCCGGGCTGCCACCACAACAGTTGATAAGTCATGAAATGTGGAAAAGTATAATAGGTCTCCTTTAACTCAGTGCCAGTGTGTGAGACAGCGCCAAAATAGCGTGGGCTCTGGGCTGTAACATTAGCATGCTAGCCACAATTAGCATTAGCTTACCAACACTATTAGTAACTAGTAACTATCAGCTGTTGGGCCTGCATAAGGCACTTAACTAACTTATGCTGCAGTAACCGTTCTCTCAACACAGCAAAATGTATTACAAACCTAAATCTGTAATTTGCATATATTGATTCAGCATACATCATACAGTTTGCAGTATACAGTACATACTCGCCAGTAGTATGTAGTAGGCGGAACTCTTGACTGTGAAACTAAAGACAGCTGAATGAGCTGTGTTCCAGTAAAGCTCCACCTCTTCCTGTATGCAGATATACACTGAGGACAGCACATGATGATCAGAGCAGAGAGCAGGCGGACGGCCAGAGAGATGGTCTACCTGGACATGGATCACCTGTTGGTGCTGCTGCTGCTGTGGAGCTCAGGTAGGACTTTAAACAGTCAGTTAGTAGGAGTCCAAGCGGTGAAGCTGCTGGACCACGATCCTTTCTGTTCTTCTTCTTTTTCTGCTAAAACTGTTTGTGCTGCTAAACATGAGCCTCAGATGTTCAGTTGTGTCCAGGTGTTCAGAGGGCTGTACTACGAAGCAGGTTGGACACATCCAGGCTTTCTTGGCTTCAGCTCGACGAAACCTTAAACTCATAGATAACGGGTTTCACCACAGCGATCATCTTTGTTACCTTCATCAGGCTCTGTGCTCGTTCCCATTAAAGTCTGACGCGTCATGTGACTCTTCTTCTGTACAAAATGGACCAATGGCAGAAAAACATTTTGCAGCAAAAAAGCAACTCTGCTGCTGCAAAGAAGGCGAGAGAGGGATGCTGGCTGAAAATCATTGTTGGACGCGCTCTGATTGTCTCCTGCTTATATGTGACGGCTGCACATCGAGCTCTTAAACTGTAAACTTGATATTTAAACATGAAACTCAAGAAGTGCACTGAGGTCTGACACTGTCCCACCATGAAGGACACGTGGACTTCACTTTAGTTTCTGGACAAATCAAAGTGAGATGAACGCTGACTAAATATTATCAGTGATAAATACCAATAATCACTTTTTTAATTTGTGCTCTATTCGCTTTGTTTATTAGCTGCAAAGTGTGAAAGAGACTCGGCAGCAAATCAGGACCGAGCATAAAAACATCATCCAGTCAGAGCTGCTAACTCTCACAGATTGACCGTGAGACTCACGCTGTTGACACTTTCACACGCCGAAACATCAATTTAGTCACATAGTGAAAAACAACTGATAACATGTAGAACTGATAACGTCAGCCTGCGGCGTGAATCGGCTCCGCCCGGCTGAAGCGACACCAGCGTACGCCGTGATCGTAATCAAGCAGACCTGCACTAGTGCTGTGAGTCACAGACAGTTTGTGACAGAGTGATAAAATAAGAAATCTAAAAATGGTTTGATGACTTTATCTTTTCCCATCTGAACATCTAAAGCTAAGTATGGATCCATGAAGATAAGAAGGGTTATGTTCCTGTACAGGCTGCACCATAAGACAATGAGACGGTGGCTATACAGTGTTTTTATTGCTTCTATTGTTTCAAAGGGAATAAAGAGGCATGCATTCTGAGTTCCATGTGTAGTGAAGAGTGCAGCTGAAGAGAGCGACTGTTTTTGAGCATCTCTCTGCTGCAGGATGCTTCCCAATGAAGCTTCTGAGAGCTGCACTTTGTCAGAGCTGCTGAGGTTAACGTGTGAATATGTGGTGAGATTTCAGTTTTCAGTTTTTCACCTCTTCGTCTCATCCAGTACAGTCCCAAACAGTTCTGTGTCTGTCAGACGGTCTCAAGGGGAAACTACCAGCGGAGCAATAACGTAATGCACAGCAGAGTCTAGAGCAGGTAGACTAAAAAACATTATGAACTCTCATTAATGATGACGTTAGTCTGGGAATATTCTGCCTTTTCTCTGGACCTGTCAGAGAACACAGATCTGTGGGAGAGATTCTGAATGTGCAGAAAGTTTTGAACATGAGCAGAAAAGCTGCTGAAACCCAGGAGCTGTTAAAGCCCAGGAGTTTCTAACTGAATTAAAATTAATTTATCCGATTGAGGTGAAAAGGAGCCACAGTCACATTTAAAGAGGTCACTTCCCCAAACAAAGACACAAAGAGGAGGGAAGATTAAATCAGGACTCTGCAGAGATTAAAGAAGTTGCTCTACAGGAGAAACTGATCTGAAAGCAGAAAGACTTACATCCAGTCACCTGAATTTAGTGTTTCCCTTTATTTTAATAAAGCTGAATAACACCCACCTGTAGCAACCTCAAGGAAATGGACCCAACACTACTCACATCACAAGTCATAGGATCCAGCTACAAAGATGGTTACTATACAATAAGATGTACGTGTGGGTAAGCCCCTGTTTATATTATCATCAGCATCATCCTTTCAGCTGAGCCATAAGCTCTTTACAGTATTTCAGTTCTGCACACAATGTGACCATCACTGTGATTAATGTCGCCCTCAAGACTGAATTTGACTCAGAATTTGATTTAATGATTTAATGCTTTGCAGTAATTTCTTCAATGTTTGATTTTACTTTTCTGTAATATTTTTAGAAATAAAACTGACTTGACCTTTTGTACTTTAACATACTGAGTATAAATAAATCTGACACTGACTGACTTTGGAAATGGTTGTTAGGAGCTCCATCTGTGTCACTACAGCAGCTCTGATATTCAATTCAATTTTATTTATATAGCGCCAAATCACAACAAAGTTATCTCACAGCGCTTTTCATAAAAAAGCAGGGAGAGGGAGGGGGAGGGGGAGGCAGCCTACACAATATACACAGAGGTACAGACAGTAAAGGTGATGTTGCTATAGACTAAATGAAAAATGGTACAGATAAAACTGGAACCTGGTTCCACAGGAGAGGAGCTTGATAGCTGAACGCTCTGGCTCCTAGTCTACTTTTGGAGACTCTAGGAACCACAAGTAACCCTGCATTCTGGGAGCGCAGTGCTCTGGTGGGGTAGTAAGGTACTATGAGCTCTTTAAGATAAGATGGCTCCTGACCATTAAGAGCTTTGTAGGTAAGAAGAATGATTTTAAATTCTATTCTGGATTTTACTGGAAGCCAATGCAAAGAAGCTAAAACAGGAGAAATGTGATCTCTTTTCCTGGTTCCTGTCAGAACACGTGCTGCAGCATTCTGGATCAGCTGGAGAGTCTTAACGGACTTTTTCGAGCAGCCTGATAATAAGGAATTGCAGTAATCCAGCCTAGAAGTAACAAATGCATGGACTAGTTTTTCTGCATCATTTTTAGACAGGATGTTCCTGATTTTCGCAATATTACGTAGGTGAAAAAAAGGTGAAATTTGCTTAATGTGAGACTTAAACGACATGTCCTGATGTCCAAAGACAACTCACAGTGGTGCTGGAGGCCAGGGCGATGCCATCAAGGGAAACTATATCTTTAGATAATGCGTCACGGAGGTGCTTAGGCCCCAGAATAATAACTTCAGTTTTACCTGAGTTTAACATTAGAAAATTACAGGTCATCCAGGTTTTAACATCCTGAAGGCACATTTGAAGTTTAGCTAACTGATGAGTTTCATCTGGCTTGATCATTAGATATAACTGAGTATCATCTGCATAACAATGAAAGCTTATGGAATATTTCCTGATAATATTGCCTAAAGGAAGCATATATAAAGTGAAGAGGATTGGTCCGAGAACAGATCCTTGAGGAACTCCATGACTAACTTTGGCGTGCATGGAGGACTCATCGTTAACATGTACAAACTGAAATCGATCTGATAAATAGGACTTAAACCAGCTTAGAGCGGTTCCTTTAATGCCAATGAAATGTTCCAGTCTCTGCAATAGGATCTGATGGTCAATGGTATCAAATGCAGCACTAAGATCTAATAAAACCAGTACAGAGACAAGTCCTTTGTCTGATGCAATAAGGAGGTCATTAGTAATTTTCACCAGTGCTGTCTCTGTGCTATGATGAGCTCTAAATCCTGACTGAAAATCCTCAAATAAACTATTGCTCTGTAGAAAGTCACACAGCTGTTTAGCAACTGCTTTCTCCAGAACCTTAGAGAGAAATGGAAGGTTAGATATAGGTCTATAGTTGGCTAAAACATCCGGATCAAGTTTGGGCTTTTTCAGAAGAGGTTTAATTACAGCTACTTTAAAGTACTGTGGTACATAGCCTGTTGATAAAGATAGATTGATCATATCTAGTATAGAAGTGCTGACTAAGGGTAAAGCATCTTTAAGCAGCCTAGTCGGGATGGGGTCTAAGAGGCAGGTTGATGGTTTAGATGAAGAAATTATTGAAATTAGTTGGTAAAGATTGAGGGAAGCAAAACATCATCACTGGTCAGATTTGGCAGGGGTCCAGAGAAAACTACGGTGTCTGACATTGTACACACCGACTCAACATTAATCTTAGTGACCTCCGATTGTCGTAACCGGGAGTCATTACCGCCGACGTGAATAACAATCTTACTGTATTTACGTTTATTCTTAGCCAGCAGTTTCAAATAAGACTCAGTGTCGCCCACTCTGGCCCCAGGGATGCACTTAACTATGGCCGCTGGCTTCGCTAACTTCACGTTTCTCAAAATGGAGCTGCCAATGATCAGAGTTGGTTTCTCAGCGGGTGTGTCGCTGAGTGGGGAAAATCTGTTAGAAACGTGAACAGGTTGATGATGCCCCGTGGACTTTGAATGCTTACGACTATTCCTCCTTCGGACAGTCACCCAGCCCCCCCCCCTTTCCTGGCTGCTCAGGAGATGACGGGGGACGGCTACCAGAGGCTAACTCAGGCCGTTCCGCATCTTCAACCCAAATCCGTTCCAATACTTTTGGAAGGGAGTGTAAGTCACCGTTTGGGGCTAACTACCAACATGTCATGTGTTCAGTCAGTCAGAGTGCTAATGGTTAGAGATGCTCACTCAGATACTCAATGCTTTTAAAAAATATAATCAAAAACTACAATGCAGTCCCATAAAACAGAGCAGTGTGTGTGCAGAAAAATCCCAGCCCTCACCTTTAACTCTCCCTGGCTCAGCTTCCCCTGTGCTGGACCCTCTGCTTGTACTGTAAATGTACATATGCATGAGAAGAGCATCAGTAAGAAATATTTTCTAATTCTATCTCAGCATAATATGATTGCCTACTCAGTCCTGCACACTGTTCCTGTCACTGTTCCACCACTGAAAGGTGAATTTGGAGCATGTTGTTCCAACATTTGGTTCTTTTTAATTCTTATTTTGCTGGCACCGCACATTTCTCTGTCCTCTTTCTTTCCTTCTGCCATATTTACCATCTCTGTTGTCACACAAACCTGATGGAAAGTAAACTGCTATGATCTGCGCTGTTTGACCAATCAGAAGTTAAGTTAAAACGAGGGTCAGTGTAAGGTGGGAGGGACCGCTCGAACCCCCCCTCACTACTGAAAGTATTAGTTTGTCCCGGCCTGACAGTCGTACAGACAGCGTTCAGCTGAGTCTTCCTGAACTTCCAGTCCGCCCCTGTACAGAAGCCACTGTTTAGGAACAAGATAGCTTGATGGCAGGTCTCCCTCCAGTACAAAGATGTGATGACTTTGTTTAGACACTGATGGTCCCGAGAGGATGGATGCTACTGACTTTGGTTGCTTTATGCAGGCATCAGGTCATAAAACTAATTCCCTTGGATCTGTGTTTAGTTCTTGCTGCACCGTCCTGCAGCTCCCTGCTGTGCTCTTTATACTACCATACGTCTTCACATCAACACAGATATCTCTTAGTACTTTGAAGAAGTAAATGTTCTACAATTAAAAAGCATATTGTAAGGATAAATGTTCAAGTTGTGATCTTTTTAGGAAAAGAAATCTGCTTTGCAGGGCTGAACTGAAATTGGATTGTAGTTTTAAAAAAGTTGAACAAATGTGTTTTTGTATAAAGTAAATTAAGCAGAACTAATTGAAACTCAGTATCCTGTAAATGGAAGTAATGTAAATGAAAATACAGTAATGATACCATCATTTAATTCATGGTAATTAACAGTTCTGTAAATTACAGTAACATACTGGCATCCAGCTGCCAGTAAGTTAATGTAAAATCTACAGCAATCTTTGGAGGGGTTTGTTTTTTTACCCGCCAACTGGATGACCAATAATTGAACTGCATTTCCACCACCTGCTTCTGTTTACAATTTCTGGACAGCTGGAGAACTGATCATCCTCACATTGGTTGGATTCAGGACCCGGACCTTTAGGTGTGAACCCTTAATCTAACAGTAGCATCATATATCATCATGTTGTTTCTTTTAGCTGGGAGTCAGGTGACAGGAGGGGGTGGGACCTGATTCTTGTTGTTGTAGAAACATTTCCATCTGTGGAATTTAATCTGAAAGTGTGCAGAGACTCAGTTTGTGATGTTGCACTATGAATAAAGTGAAGCTGAGCGAGCATACTTCACTCAATGCTGAACTTTAACTCTATATAAACCAGTCTGCTGGCTGCTGTTCTGTGTATTCACATGTTCATCTCACCTACAGTAAACTGGTAAAATGACTCCAGAGGGAGTTCACTGAGATGTTTCTGGGCTGATAGTGTTTTTTCTGTCCACGGCTGTGCTCCAATCACAGGACTCCAGGCTGAAGGAAATCACACCTCAACAGGTAAAGAGAGAAAGAAAAGAGAAGGAAAGAATCACAGAAGCAGAATCAGCAGTCAAGTTTTATTTAATCTCTTGAATTCACTTCTTTACTGATGACTCTCTGGTTTCTGTTCAGAGCCTGATGATTTCAGGTTGGTGGGAGGAGCCAGTCGCTGTGCAGGAACAGTGGCGGTGAAACATCAAGGAGACTGGAGACCAGTGAGTTACGCTGACCGGACCCTGAAGACAGCAGCTGGTGTCTGTAGAGAGCTGGACTGTGGTTCTGCTGTTTCTGTAGGACAGAGAGAGGAGTCCTCAGACAGACCTGTGTGGAGGATCATCTCTGACTGTGTTCATCCTGGATCTGCTCTGAGGGAGTGTGTATCATCAGCTTCCTCTTCCTCCTTCGTGGATCTCACCTGCTCAGGTAAGCCCATCAGTGACATCATCTATGACATCATCTCTGACAGTAATGTACCCAGGTTGATTCACACTCAGCAGCTAGAATGGCAGCAGACTGTCTCTGGCAGCCATGACGGAAGCCATGATGGAAAGGTGCAACTCATGACTCAAGAATTTTCCAGAACTCCTGTCTGTACACTCAGTTTGAAGGTGGTCAACATAGTGGAATCATACTTGGTGACAGTGGGTATGCACAGACCAACTTCTTGTTTACCCCTTACCTTCATGCAGTCACACCTGAGCAGCAGCGGTACAACCAAGCTCATGTCTGTACCAGAGGTACAGTGGAGCGCATGTTTGGTGTATGGAAGAGTCGTTTCCAGTGTCTCAGAAACACTTTGCGCTTTGAACCAAGAAGATGCTGTATTGTCATAATTGCAACAGCAGTGCTTCACAATTACCTCAAACAGCATGGCTGCCCAGATCCTCAAATGGAACCTAGGGATGAACCAGATCTTCCCATGGTTGAACCAGACAATGACAGGTATGGACTGGCGTGCAGAGATGCTTTTGCTTTGCGGCACTTCTCACCATGAAGTTACCTCAGATGATTGAAGACAACAATTGCCACAGATTGATTATGAACAAAAGTTTTATTTCACAAATTGAGATATCGGGACCCTGAACTGGTGCTGGTTTCAGTAGAGCATTGGTACTGCTGCTGCTTCATGTTTCGCTCTTCCTCCTTCATGGATTACTCAACATGAACTATTTTCATCTTTATTTCATGTTCATCTTTTAAATACTTTAATTTGTGCTCATGGAATTTCATGGCCAGTTTCTCGTGCATGGTCAGCCTCCTGGTCCTTCTCATCTGGCCAGAATTAGTGACACCATCTTCCCTCCAGGCTGCTGCAGCTGTAGTGGGTATTATATTGCAGCATTAGTGAACAATGTGTATTTAAAAGTGAAGTTCATGAAATATTTCTGGTTATAGCACTGCAAAAAATGACTGACAACAATACATATTCCCTGCAGTTTAAGGATGGCACATATTGAATTAATGTGGCCTACCAAATGAGGATTGGAACGGGGCCCCATCTGAACAGTCCAAATGATCCTCATCATTTACATTTACTCATTTGGCAGACGCTTTTATCCAAAGCGACTTACATTTGAGGAACAACATACAAGCATCAACAGAGCATCAACTACAGATCTACAACTGACAATACATACTAGTAAGAGCAGCAATAAATACTAGTAAGAGTTCACAGTACATATCACATCAATGGGGTAGATACCTAGGGAAGGAAGTAAGAGTTAACAAAAAGTGCAATCAATACAAGATCATTGTAGGGGATAGAAGAAGAAGAGCACAGGAAGTGCATGTTAGAGGTGTTATAAGAGGAAGTGTTCTCCGAAGAGATGAGTTTTCAAGAGCTTCTTGAAGTCAGAGAGGGACGCCCCTGCTCTGATGGCGTGTGGCAGCTCGTTCCACCATCGTGGTGTCACAGAAGAGAACAGCTGGGACTGGGATTGCTTTGTGTGAAGGGACGGCAGAGCCAGGCGGCGTTCGTTGGAGGAGCGTAGTGGCTGAGAAGGAACGTAAGTTTGTATTATGGAGTTTAGGTAGATGGGTGCAGACCCAGTAGTCACTCTGTATGCAAGCATTAGTGACTTGAATTTGATTCTGGAGGCCACGGGGAGCCAGTGGAGGTCACTGAGTAATGGAGTGACATGAGTCCTTTTGGGCTGATCAAAAACCAGACGCGCTGCTGCGTTCTGAACCATTTGTAAGGGTTTCACCGCACAAGCTGGGAGACCTGCTAGGAGGGCATTGCAATAGTCGATGCGAGAGATAACCATGGTCTGTACCAGAAGCTGGGTGGCGTACTGAGTGAGGTAGGGCCTGATTTTCCTTATGTTGTATAGAGAAAAGCGGCACGACCGAGAGACAGTAGCAACATGGTCTGAAAAGGACAGCTGGTCATCAATCCTAACACCCAAGTTTCTCACCACCTTGGTTGGAGTGATGGGTGCGGAGTCAATTTGTAGTTTGATGTTATGGTGGATAGATTGCTTGGCTGGAATGACCAAGAGTTCAGTCTTAGAGTGGTTTAGTTGAAGGTGGCAAGCCTTCATCCACGCAGATATGTCTGATAGACAGTCCGTGATCCGCGCCGAGACAATGGGATCGTCTGGCGGGAAGGATAGGTAGATTTGCGTGTCGTCTGCGTAGCAGTGGTAAGAGAAGTCGTGCGAGCGAATGATCGGCCCCAGTGAGGTGGTGTAAATTGAGAAGGGAAGGGGCCCAAGCACTGAGCCTTGGGGCCCCCCTGTGGAGAGGCAGTGGGAGGAGGATAATTGTCCTTGCCACAAAACATTGTAGGAACGCCCGAGAGGTAGGATTCGAACCACAGGAGTGTTTTACTCGAGATGCCCATTGCTAAGAGAGCGGATAGCAGGATCCTGTGGTTGACTGTGTCAAAGGAAGCTGATAGGTCAAGTAGGATAAGAACTGAGGATTGGGCTGCAGCTTAGCTGACCTTAGGCTTCTGTTACAGACAGAAGAGCCGTTTCAGTAGAGTGGGCACTCTTAAAACCAGACTTATATGGATCTAGGAGGTCATTCCCTGAGAGGAATTCTGAGACCTGTTTGAATACTGCTCGTTCAATAGTTTTGGATAAAAAAGGTAGAAGAAACACTGGTCGATAGTTCTCAACTTGAGTTGGGTCAAGTGAGGGCTTTTTGAGCAAGGGTGTAACCCGAGCCCTTTTGAAAGTGGTCGGGAAGGTTCCTGAAGCCAGAGAAGTATTTATCACATGAGTGATTGTCGGGACCACAGTAGGAGATATGGCTTGGAGGAGATTCGTAGGAATCGGGTCCAGTGGGCATGTAGTTGGACGGCTATGGGTCAAGAGTTCTGATACTGAGTAAACGAGGAGAGGGAACAACCAATGACCTTGAAGGGCAGGGGAAAAGATGTAGTAGAACTGCTACAATGGTTGAGTTTGAGTGTTTCAAAGAATTGACGAGTTGTAGCCTCCACTTTGCCTGTGAAGAAGGCAGCAAAGGTATCAGCAGACAAGTTTGTGGGTGGTAGAGGTGGAGGAGGATTTAGTAGCGCTTTAAAAGTGGAAAATAATTTCCTTGAGTCAGTGGCACTGCTTATTCTCTCATTATAGAACGCAGTTTTGGCAGCACTGATGCTTGTTGAGAAGGAAGATAGGAGCAATTGGTAGCCCTTAAGGTCAGGGGCTGCTGGCTATCAATGATCAAAGTCAACAAGTCTCCTAGGTCATTGGTCTCCAGTCTTTCTGGGGGTCCACCACCAGTCTTGAAACGCTCCCTACGTGCAACAGCATTTGTCTTCTTTAAGTTCATTTTTATGTTTTTCCACAGGATCTTAGAAAGATGGAACAATATAAAAATTAAATTCTGTATGATGCTGTTTGTAATATACTTGGATCACAATGAAGCAACATTTCAAAGTGACTGACATATAAAAGTAGACCAACAACAATACAGTAGCTTACCTGAAGTTGTTGAAGTGTCCTGTTGCTTACTTTTTCATTCGAGTTAAATTCATTGCAAATTGAAGTCCAAGCATTCTTTTTCTTGTTTTCTGTTGCTGAATCATGCTGTTTGTTCTCAATAATTGGTTGGTTTGACACAATTTGCTTCAAAAGGGTCCTTTCAAAGTCACTGAAATTCTTTGAATGTTGTCTTTTACCTTTGTCCATTGTTTGGTTGGGTGATTTACTCCAGTTCCACACAATGTTAATGTTTCTTCAGGGTCCAGCCCTAGTTTTTGGAGCAACCTCAGGAGTGCACAACATTACTCTAATCGGGCTTCACAGAGAGTAGCTAGTTAGTCCTTATTAACCTTAGTCTGCAACTCCCTAGACGGGTACTACTTAATCTCAAATAAAGCAATGTCTTGGAAAGCCTTTTTTTATGTCTGTATTAATTTCAGTAGGATTAGCCTAATCCTCATTTATTTTAGAGTCTGTCCGGGAAACCGCCCCTAAGACAGAATGAAAAGTGTTGAACTTGTTTGTGTGGAGAGCAAAGATTGTGCAGTAGCTGAGCAGAAGGAACAGAGCAGAGAAATCTGCAGATGATGATGTTGTGCTGTTGTTTGGAAACATGTTGAAAGTGTTCAGACGTGGAGAACAAGTGTGACAGAGTATTAAATGGAAATGTGCTGGTGAACTTGCTGCAGTCTGTGCTGGTAGAAAGATGTGTTCTGTTGTTAATGATGAACTGATGTTGGAGTTGTGCTGAGTCCACCTTGAATCTCTGAATTGTTGTTTCATGACATGTTTTTCTTTTGTGTCTGCTGTCTTTATCTCTATTTCATCTTCTATTATCTCTCCAGACTCTGTCAGGCTGCTGGACGGGACTCGTCTGTGCTCAGGCAGACTGGAGGTGAAGTCTAACCAGAGGTGGTCCTCAGTGTGTGAAGCTGACTTTGACCAGCAGGATGCAGAGGTGGTCTGTAGGGAGCTTGGCTGTGGGGCTCCTTCAGTCCTCAAGGGGGCGCTCTATGGAGAAGTGGAGGCTCCGATGTGGACCAAAGAGTTCCAGTGTGGAGGCCATGAGTCTGCTCTCCTGGACTGTAGAAGCTCAGGCTCAGCTAGAAACACCTGCTCACCTGGAAAAGCTGTTGGACTCACCTGCTCAGGTAGAAGAGGAGCTGCAGCTTTGATTTGCTTCATTTCTCTTCTGATGAAACTCACTTTATTGTTTTACTGATGACTCTCTGGTTTCTGTTCAGAGCCTGTCAG